ATATTATCAGTACTAGTCTATGTGTTCTGAAAATATTTTTTCCATTCTTTGTTTTTTAACCCTCTTAATGGTTTTTTTGCTGAGCATGAGTTTTAAATTTTGATGCTTAATTTATTAATTTTTGTTTTTATGGACTGTGCTTTTGGCGTAAAGTCTAACAACCCTGCAAAGTCCTACATCCTAAAGATTTTATACTTTTTCCTAAAAGTTTTATTACTTTATATTTCACTTAAGCATGTAGGTTCATGGTTCATTTTGAGTTTACTTTTTATTTTTAGTTAAGTCAAATTTTAAAAAATTCATTTCCTCTATGAATGTCTACCTCTCTAGCACCTTTTGTTGAAAGGGTGACTATCTTTCCTATGTTAAGTTGTTTTTGTGCCTTTGTAAAAAATGAAATAGGAGTATCATATCAGACTATTTCTAGGTTCTGTATTCTGTGTCATTTACATATGTGTCTATGCCTTTGCCAATACCTCATAGTTTTGATTGCTGTGTCTAATAAATCTTGGAGTTGAGTAGATCATTTAGTCTGGCTCTACTTTAATATTCAAAAATGTAAGTTTAAAGTCTGTTTTAAACTTCTTTGAATATTTTTACTGAATACATAGGATCACCTAAGTAATGATTCAATATCAATCATATTTGGAGAATAGATTCAGGGGAGGTTGCATAAGATGCAATAGAATATTATAGGAACTAGTACTTCAGTATTTAGTTATTATTCTCACTTTCCAGGAGATATATTAAAGATTAATAGTTAAAAATACTCTTTCTTTCAAACTTGCTTTTTATTTTGTAAATTTCTTGACTAATGTCAGATTTTAAAAGGCAAGATACCAGAAATACTCAAAAGCATTTTATGGAATTTTATACAATTTTCATTCTTTGTTTACATTCCTTTTTTTTAAATCCTCACCTCAGGATATCTTTATTGATTTTTAGAGGGAGAGGAAATGAGAGACATAGAAAGAGAGAAAGAGAGAAACATCAATGTTAGAGAGAAACATTGATCAGTTGCCTCCTGTACATGCCCCAACCAGGATCAAACCCACAACCTAGATATAAGCCCTGATGAGGAATCAAACATATAACTTAGGTATATGCGCTGACAAAGAATGGAACTGTGAACCATCTGGTGTACAGGACGACCCTCCAACACAGTGAGCCATCCAACCACAGCTGCTCACATTTTTTGTCAAGTGAAAATTTGAAGATAAGGAAAATGGATGCAGGAGATGGGATGTAAACAGGGGCCACTGAGACTTCTGTTCTTTATAACATTCACAGTTCTGGATTTGAGAAAAATGGGAGGTAAATACAAGTAACACTAGCGTAAAAAATATATGAACTATAAAGCTGGCTTTAGACCAAAGTGTAAATTATCTAATACATGAAAGCTCACATATAGTCCTGATGACAGTTTCAGTAATAAGAGAATGTCAAGTTCCAGTTCTGATGATGGACGATGGTCCTGTTTCAATTCTGAGAAAGAGCCAACGTAGGGTTTGTGTGAAAGGGAATGAGAATATTCCACAGAAACTTATCACATTCCTTGATTAAAGAACTGCTCACTCCCTGTGAACCCTTTATTCTGACTGAAAAGCAATTAATTTTACAGCTGAGATGAAAATTAAAAGTTTATGGAAAACTTTCGACTACATGTCAAAAAGTTTTGTCAGTAATGTCAATAACTATAGTCAATATGAATCCCAAGACCTTGAGGAATAACCTGTCACTAATTATTATTCATTTAATGAACCACCCTCAATAAATGGGAGTTAAGAAAGATTCCTGGAAGCTAGTCTGGAAGCCCAACATCTAAAAGATAAAAAATTATTTGAGAAACTGAGGTCTTCAAATTAGAAACAGATTTCTTGGCAGTCATGTTTAGAGGAGTCAAACATGCTGTATTTAGAATATTTCTTCCCTCTGTCCCAAGCTTTTTCCACCAAAATTTTCACTCACTCTTTTCAAGATAACTTGGAGTTGAAAAAACACTGTATGGAATACAAGGCCATTTCCAGCTTTATTTCAAAATTTATTTATAGACCACATAACATACAGTACATGTATAAAACTATCTATTGGTAACTTCTCTGTGTAGGAGTACTGTAAGAAGCCACTATACTTAGATGCTCTAACAAACACAGAATCTGACTCTTCTGAAGGGCCTGAGCACATTTGAAACTATTTTTATTTTTTTAATATTTTACTTATTTAGTTCTAGAGAGAGAGAAGGAAAGGGAAGTGTGTATATATAGTCTTTTATATATAACAATTTGTACTACACATGTTAAGATAGAATTAATGTAACATGGTATTATTTTATCAAATTTTGCTAATAGGTTTAATTAGTATTATTGGCTAAAAGTATACTTCTCACCTCCCAGGCTGGAAAGGAAAGAACAAAGCCCTGGATACCAAATAAGGTGGAAGCAGGGCACACATTTGAAAGGAAGTATGAAATCTAGAGATGCTGACGCCACACAGAGAGCAGGGATGAGTGGAAGATGTACATAGGCCAGTGACACCCTCTGGATACTCAGACGAACAGACAGTACTCAGGTACTTAGTGAAATTGCTACTATTATCCAGGCAAGGTCTAATCCTAAGTAAAATACTGGGATTTACAATGACAGAAATGTCTAATTAATCCTAAGTAAGGATCAAGATAATATAAAAAACACTAACACAAGTGGGAGGATGAAGATTTTTTTGTCATCTGTTAAGGTTGTCCTTTGGAAACTTTCAAAGACAGTATGCAACTTTCAGTCTAACAGAGCTTGAGAACTTAATGTAAATTGGAGAAAAGCTGAACGGGTGAAATGCAAAATGCTAAATTTTTGATATGTCAACCAAACATAAAAGATATAGCAGGAGAACTAGGTAGTTCACTTAAACAAATTTTGACTAAGTATTTTTTATCCTGTACTCAGTTGGCAGATATTGGAAGTAATTCATTAAAATGTTTATCTTATTTTCTTTAGAGCAAAACATTCATTATAATTTAAAAAATCATTATATTTTCATCATAAAAATGTACTCATCATATAATTCAGCAGTAATAAATTGGCTAGAAAAGAGCAGAAATGTAATAAACACATTATTATTAGATCATAAATGTTTAACATTTGACAAGGAAGGGAAGAGGTGAATGAACATAGATATACACAAAGAAGCAATATTACATTTTAAGGTTTAAAGGGACAAATTTTTCTTGAATGAAATTATTAAGTTTGCATTGACTAATTAATAAACAAATAATGAACGTGGACAACTTGTCATATACTTTCTTAAAGAAATGTATTCCATTTTTTAAAATTCATCTTTACTATATTTAATTTACAAAAAACTAAGTCAGGTCTGATGACTTTCATAAAAATTAAAAACAGCAAGGTTTTTTAAAACATATTTTTACTTTAATAAGTCAAGTATGTAAGAAAGCATTATTTTTATTGTTGACCCTATTACAGATGTTCCCATTTCCCCCACTTTGGGCACTTCCACCCCGCTTCCACTCCCATCCTTCTGGCCATCACCACACTGCTGTGTGTCTATGTGTAATGAACATATGTTCTTTGGCTAATCCCTTCACCTTCTTTTATTCAGTTCTCTTTCCCCTCTCCCCTCTGACAGCTATCAGTCTGTTCCCTGTATCTATGCCTCTGTTTCTATTTCATTCATCAGTTTATTTTGTTCATTACATTCTACATGTAACTATCTCTACATGAGATCATATGGTATTTGTCTTTCTCTGACTGGCTTATTTCACTTAGCATAATACTTTCAAGATTCATCCATCCTGTTGCCAAAAGTAAGAGTTCCTTCTTTTTCATGGCTGAGTAGTGTTCCACATGTAAATGTACCACAGCTTTTTTTATCCACTCATCACTGATGGGCACTTGGGCTATTTCCAGATCTTGGCTATTGTAAATAATGCTGCTATGAATGTAAGTGTGCATATATTCTTCCAGACTGGTGTTTTGAGATTCTTAGGATATATTCCCAGAAGTGGGATCACTGGATCAAGGAGCAGTTCCAAAACATAGCAAAGGTGTTTTTTTTTTTAACCATACACAAATTTTTTGTTTGTTTTTTCCCCCTTTAGTATAACTTTGGAACCAATAGACTTTGTTCTTTCACATCTTGAGTGCCAGAGGATTATTTCCTTCCTACTTTTGTTTGAATGATCACTTCTTTTCTCTTTTTGTTTTGCCCATAAATAACTTATTATTCTCTTTGTAGATTTATCAAGAGTTTAAATTTTTCATTCTTTATTTTCCCTCCAGTATTTTATTTCAGTGTTAATATAATGGTGTTATGTGACTTTTTTCCTACAAATGTATACACAGCGATAACTCATTTAAATTTTGGAATCTCCTTTTTAATATATGATAATAGGTATTACTAAAATAAGATAAACACAAATGAAACTGTTACATGTATACATAAGTGTGTTAACAGTTTTACAGTGTTCAGCTATTTTTCTAACAATACTGTGTTAATGGTGCAAATCATACATCTACAAAATTTATTTCTCTGTACACTGAAATCATAAAAATAAGAATTATATTACTCTGACCATAAGGTCAAATAGAAATTGGTCCTTATGTAGGAGTTTTCTGTTGTTTAGTGGATTCATATTTATTTAGATTAAACTTTGCTTTTTCACCACCAGATGACCACAGCTTTGGTTTTTCACAAAATTCCTTTTAATGACACTACAGAAATAATTTATCCAAGGACCTAATTAACTTGTATATTTTATTTTCTACTTATAGCTTCATGGCAAGTTTTTCAAATAATAAATTTGCATTTGAAATGTTATACTGAACCCAAACAGTAAGATGAAACAAATGACCTAAACTTTTTGAAGGTCAAGTTATAAATTATTCTTATGATGAAGTAGGATGCATATGGTCCATGAGCAAAATCACAACCACAGGCTTCTTGATGAAGACACTCAGAAACTCTTTGTATGTACCTCACAGGAAACATGGACTCTGAGTTCTGACAATAGGTTTTGGGACTTCACTGGAACTACAGCAGCTACACCAGGACTGATTTAAATGTGTCATCAGTTTTCAGAGATAAATTCTGCAGTGAATTCTTAATGATTCCCCAAAAGTACCACAGGATGGCCAGAGCACTGATATCATGGGTTGGTCGTACTGTTTATAGGAGCCCAGGAAGGGTAAGTGTAGAGGTCAAATATGGGCACAATCCAGGTGAACATGCCAAGCATCACCACAGCAACACCCACAATTTTAACACCAAGTCCAGCTTTAACCTGAATAAGGAAGAGCATAAATGTCAGTCTCCTGAAAAGAAAACTTATGGGAAAATTGGAATACCATTACAGAAGCCATCTGTCATATTTATGTTCATAGTAAATGACTAGTATAAAATGTTGATTTCATAAAACAAGGAGTTTTTCCATTCATGTCAAAAGATCATCTGTCCCCACCCTAATACCATTTACCGGAAGAGTCTCAGAGAGAATCCTCTGAGGAATCAACTTACTGACCAGTCTGATTCAAGAAAAATCCCTTTAAAAATCTGCCAGATCATTTAAGATCAAAATGTGAGTTTCATGGTTTTTTTTATTTTGGTGGATAAATTTCAGGTCACTAAATGAAAACTGGATCCTTAGTAGTCAACATTATTAATAGTTTTCCCTTCAGTATTCCTTTATTGAGGTTTAATGATGCCACATCTAGTCATCTTTCTTAGAATTCCCATTTTTCTAGCTCTGACATCATCATTCTGGTGTCCATTAAACAATCTCCAAGTTGCTTCCTATCCATTCAAACAAACGCCATCAAACTACTACCCGTGAACTGTTTTTGTGAATCAAGTTTTGTGGGACCACAACCACACCCATTTGTCTACAAATTGTTGTTGCTGCTTTCATGATACAATGGCAGAGTTGAGCAGTCATGACGGAGACCATATGCCTACAGAGCCTCAAATATTTACTATCTAGCTCTTTGCAAAGAAAGCAGCTTATCTTTACATTATCGGTATTAAAACATGGAGCTCCAAAGCTAAAGGAGGATACCTAGCAGTGATCACTACAGACAGCCCCTTTTCTGTCCATGCAAGCCACTTATTTATTTCCAGAACCTTTTTTTAAAATTCACATACATAGGACACTGCCTATGTTATGAACATTTTCTTTACCAAAATGATATTATGTAACTTCTGCCTAGAAGCATTTCCAGAATTTTTACCTCGCGGGAGTTTAGCAGCTCATGTGGAAAGAAGGGAGCTAGACTTAACTTGAAATTGCATTTGAATAGCAAGCTCATGGAATTTACTTTGGTTATATTCTCGTTTCTTTTGGTTTGGAAGTTGTATATCAAAATTTAGGGGACACTAAAATATTCTCAAGCTACTCTTTACTAGCACAACTTTTGTATTTGGCTAAAATGTGCATGTTTTGTCACTTAAATTTTCTATGAGCACTTCCTTGTGCTTTCACTTCAGGTGTTGCTATTAGAATCAGAACAGGAAAGATGACTTTTCATCAGGCAGGCACTGAGTCTCAAGTCTCTTTCAGAGCAAACGTCAATTGCATAAATATTTGTGATAGCAAGCCACAGTGCTTGATTGCTAAATTTCATTAACCCTATATCTTCATTTGCCTAGGTCAAATTACATCTAATCTTAACATGTAAGTTTAAGTCATTGTGTTGGGCATATTTTAGGCTCTTTTTCTTCTTCCAGGGTATGACTGGTACATTCTATATCTCTGTATTCCTGACTATAAATTCAATGACACAATTGCTTCAGGTTATCACTCTTAAAAATGATTCTATGGCCAGTCACATAATTGCTCTCAGAAGCAGAACTCAAGCCATGCTTTCATGGCAGCTGATTAATATGAAAAAGGAGAGAGAACCTAAGGCATCACAAGAAGCAGCTACTGAACCCGATAGTATTCTTTCAGCTTACTCACCATGTCCATAACTTTTAGATGGCCATATGAAAAAACAATAGCATTGGGTGGATTTGCTACTGGTAGGAGGACTGCAAATGAAGTACACAGAGTAGAAGGTAGCAAAATATGAAGAGGGTTCACGTGAATGGCTTCAGCCTATTAGAAAAGATGAAAAAGGAGCCCAAGTAAAGTTTTGAGATGCACCAAGCATCAAAATGAACCTAATTATAATAACAAACTTTCCCAGAAGCAGGATGAAACCTGCTTTATGAAGACATAAAATTATGTATAAATGCAGTTATAACTTCAAGAATATTTTTCAGAACGTGTCTCTTCCTATTGTTCATGTTTAATAGTGCCCATTTAAGTGTTATAGCTCAGTTTGTTTAGAAATGTTTTATCTATTTCAAAAACTAAATAAAAACAATGAGCATTTATTATTTATTGAATACTAGGTGCTATGCTAAGTGTTTTCATATATATAAAATGTTTATATAATATGCAAATTTATATATATTAAAAATAATTCATGAAATAATATAATAAACTGTATATATACATGCATATAACTCAAAGTTCCCAATGAACGTATGATATAGCTAGTATAGCCCCAAATAACAGATAAGGAAACCGAGGCTCAGAAAGTCTAAAGTAACTTGTCAAACACACAGCTGACAAGCAGTAGAGCTTAGGTAAGCTCTCAGGTCCCTCTGGCTCCAAAGCTTCTCCTCATTCCATTAACTTCCCTGCTTTTGTGACATACATAATTTAAAATTTGCTTACAGATCATCACAGAAGAAGAATTAATATGATTATAATTTATTACATAATTTTCTAACTGCCCTATGTTGAGAAATAAAAACCAGGAAAAACCCAAAATAATATTTTGCCAATTTAAACTCTGAACATTTTTCTAATTTGAACATATGCCCCTTGAGCTGATAGCAGAAAAATTCCTGAAGGGCAATCCTTCTTAATTTAAATCACTTTCTTTTCACCAAATCCATCTGTCCTAATAGGAAAAACATTTACTTAAAGCTATCTCTTGTAATTGCTAGTTAGATGGGGAGAAGGAGGAAAGACAGTCTTTCCCTCTCCTTGCAAACCTGCTTCTTATTTATCTTTGAAAATTCTTCCCTAGGCCAAAGGGAACTGTGTCTAAGATATTTAAGCATGAAGACTGAAGTATAAGCCTAGGTTTTCGTTCATTTGCAAATCACTTATATGAAGCACTTCTCAGAAATAATCTTCTGGAAAGAGAAATGTCAGAGTTAGAGGCCTAAATAGTAAATTTGCCAGGAAACATTGAATCCCAGAGTCTCATAGCTGGAAAAGATCTAGGTTTACCCTCTCATTTATCTGCAAATAAAAAAATCTGGGTGGGTAAAAGGTAAATGGTTAATACTCTGCTGCATAAATGTGGAAGAAAAGTTTTCCTGAGTTAGGGTCTCCTAAAAGGTATTAAAGCAAAGACCACTCTATAAATTACTTCTAGGGGAAGCATCAGGGTCTAAAAATGATTCTATACCATAACATGAGAACAAGCCAGTAGAACAACTGCTCTTCTGATGAAGCGTACAAATGGAATAAATGCAATACTCACCATTGTAGCTAATATTGGGAGGAGAATAGTGATGGTAGCTGCGTTGCTGGCTACCTCTGTTAAAGAGGTGACAAGCAAAGAGGAAATCAGAATTACTAGCCATACTGGTAATGATCCTATAGGAGATAATTTATTTCCTATCCAGTCAGACAGTCCGGAGAGCTAAAAAAACAAATTTGCAGTATTTGTTATTCATTAATAACTCATTTTGATAGACACACTTTAAATGTATTAAAAGCATTGTTTGCTCGAAGAACTCAGTCTCCAAAATACAGTTCCCATCTCTCATATATTCCCGTGGTGTGGTAGATATAGGCGGCTTTGACATGGAAGCACTTCCAGTCATTTTTATTTTAGCACTACCAATACACTGTAGGAAGTCTGAACTGTCTCCTACTTTCATTCAATTAAATTTTAGTTTTATCTAACTAATATACGTGCACATTTTAACAAATGGAGTAGTACTATAGGGCCTTAAAAGAAGAGTAACCCTTCTGGTCTACCTCCCTCCACTCCTACATAGTCTTCCCTAGAGACAACCACTTCAAACTGATATCAGTTATTTAGAGATATATTTAGGCATTTATGGCTATTTTTCAAAATTAAGCTTTTTCCCAATTTTCAAATTTAGACATTATTTACTGACTCATGTAAGGATTCAGCTTCCTTATACTACCCACCACACATATATTTCCTCTGCCTCCATTCCTTTACACTCATATGTCAACATTTTGTTAAATTGATATTTAAAGCTTACTATTATGGTTATATGAATATTGTTCACACCCAAGTCATTTAATGTACGGTGATTATATTAACTTTTTTTGGTTTTACTGTTTGTTTTTCCAGGGATAATGGCCTCATTCTTTGCTTGGTTTTCTAAGTACCTATCACTAATTCTTCAGTACAGTCTCTAGTCAAATTGAAAACCTCCCCACAAGCAGACAAACATAGATAGAGGTCATTCTTTTTCATTTTCCCTCATGGAGATCTCCATCTTGAACTATTACCTCCTTATGCTCCATCTAGACTAGTTGCTGTTCATATCCACTCTACTGCTGTTGTTCTGAGACCTCTCCTCTCTGGAGTACTATGTATTCCCTTTGCCTCCTTTTCATGTGAGAATCTTTTCTTGTTTATGCCAGTGTGTTGGTGGAACACCTTCTTATATAGCTTTCTGAAAACTGGTGCATGGGAGGTAATTTTTTTTGCAGAGGTTCTGCATGTCTGAAAACCTCTTTACTTTCTTTTCTTACTGTTTTGATAGTTTAGCTTTTGTAAAGTTCTAGACTTGAAAGAGTTATCATTCAGCCAGAAAGCCTGATGGCCTTCAGAACTTTGACTCATTGTATGTAGTCCAAAGAAATCAGCGGTACTCAAATCAATAGGTGTATTATTCTAGTCCCTCCACACTCTGCCAAATGGAAAGGAAAATTCTCCATTTATGAGACTTCAGTGAACTACTGCATATGTGAATCCTTATGCCCATGTCAAAGTAAGACTGGTATCCTTCAGAAAAGCTCTAATTAGAAGCAGATCAAAAGTAGGCAAAATATCCCCAGACATAGATACCAGATATATGTTATTTGTGGTTTTGACTGATATTTTTGGTTGTGTTTTGGTTTTGACTTTTAGATGGAAAAAACTCTGCCTAACATTTAAGTCATATTAGCACAAGCTGTCCTAGAATATAACTACATATATTTTAAGAATGGCTTTTTTTAAATCTATGTCTGATCAGATACCACTGGAATGGGTTATACCGTATAACATCACCCCCTCTCTGAAGGCCACTGGGATCATATCATCAAATGATAACGTGCTTTGGTATTGGAAACTCTAGCTCTCTCAGTCCAGAATCTCAAAGTCTTCAGTTCTGTGAAATTGCTTGTATTATTGTTTTGGAAATGTCCTTCTACTAATTTTTATTTTCTTTCCCATTTTTCTCTTTCTGAAACTCCTAGTTGTTGGCTGTAGGACATTTGAATTGATGCTCTAATTTTCTTATCTCTTGTATGTTTTAGTTTCTTTACCTTTTTAAAAATTTTCTGAGATAAGTTCAAATTTCATCTTCTAGCTCTGCTATCGAATTCTTCCATTTCTGTTATAATATTTCTATTTTTAAAGTATTTTATTGATTATGCTATTACAGGTTTTCTAATTTTCCCCCTTTATTCCCCTTCACCCTGCATCCTCCAACTCTCTAGCATCCCTCCCCTTAGTATATGCCCATGATTTGTACTTATAAGTTCTTTGAGTCCTCTATTTCCTATATCACTTTTTATCTCTCGCTGTCTATTTTATGCCTCCTAATTATGCTTCTTCTTTCCTGTACCTTTCCCCCACTATTCCTCCCTTCCCCCCCCACTGAACTCCCTCTGTGTGATGTCCATTTCTCTGATTCTGTTCCTGTTATGTTTATTTGCTTAGTTTTTGTTTTCATTGTGTTTCTTTTCTTTTAGGTTCATTTGTTGTTGGTTGTGAGTTTGTTGTCATTTTACTGTTCAAATTTTTTATCTTCTTTTTCTTAGATAAGTCCCTTTAATGTTTCATATAATAATAGTTTGGTGATGATGAATTTCTTTAACCTGGCCTTATCTGGGAAGCATTTTATCTGCCCTTCCATTCTAAATGAAAGCTTTGCTAGATAGAGCAATCTTGGATGTAGGTCTTTGGATTCATGACTTCAAATACTTCTTTCTAGCACCTTCTTGCCTGCAAGGTTTGTTTTGAGAAATCAGCTGATAATCTTACGGGAACTCCTTTGTAGGTAACTCCTTTTTTCTTGTTTCTTTAAGGATTCTCTCCTTATTTTGTGTAACTTAATGATGACGTGTCTTGGTGTGTTTCTTTTTGGGTCCAACTTCTTTGGGACTCTGTGGGCTTACTTGACTTCCCAGAAGTCTATTTCCTTCACCAGACTGGGAAAGTTTTACTTCATTACTTGTTCAAATAAGTTTTCAATTTCTTGCTCTTGTTCTTCTTCTCTGGCTCCTCCCTCACAGGCAGCATCTAAGTGCAGGAAAGAGGGTTGCCCTGTTCACCTGAATATCTAAGACCCCTCTCACTTACAACTTATTGCGTTCACCAAGACAAAGAAATATGGCCCAAATGAAAGAAGAGAGCAAAACTTCAGAAAGAACTAAGTGATGAGGAGATAACCAACCTATCTGATGGAAAATTTAAAGCCATGATAATCAAAATGCTCACGGATCTGATTGAGTTTGGTCGGAAAATGAAAAAAAAAAAAAAGATACCCAAAATGAAATAAAGCAAAATATTCAGGGAACCAACAGTGACAGGAAGGGAACCAGGACTCAAAGGAATGATTTGGAACAAAAGGAAAAAATAAACATTCAATCAGAACAGAATGAGGAAACAAGAATTCGAAAAAGTGAAGAGAGACTTACAAATTTCTGGGACGACCTTAAACATTCCAATATCCAAATTCTAGGGGTGTTACAATTCTTTTATTATCAATGGATCTTTCTTATTTTTTGTCTATCCTTTATTTAAAAAGTAACATTCTGTTTTTTTATGTCTTTAATGTTTCTAAAATCTCTCTGAGGCATCAATGATAAATTTTTTAATTTTTCTTTTGTTTCATACATTTTTCTTGCTTTCATATGTTCCTTTTCAATTTTTCTTCTTTATTACTAGTTATTGAATCAGAGGCTTTCCCAACTATCTGATGACTCGGGACCATCTATTTATTTTTAAAGGGGAGACAACAAAATATTAATTAAAGCTCTTGATGCCTGGACAAAGATTGTGAGCTCCTGCCCTTTGTGACAGCATGGATTGATCTGGAGAGCATTATGCTAAGTGAAATAAGCCAGGCCATGGAAGACAAATAGCATATGATCTCACATTTAAGTGAGACCTAATCAACAAAACAAACAAGCAAGCAAAATATAATCAAATACAGTGAAATTAAGAATAAACTGAAAGTGACCAGATGGGAAAGGGGGAGGGTTTTTTCAGGAACATGTATAAAGGACACCTGGACAACACCAAAGGTGGGTGGGATCGTGGGTGGTATCAAGGGTGGGAGGTGGGGATGGCTGAGGTTGGGGGAGTGGTGGGAGGAAAATGGAGACAACTGTATTTGAACAACAATTTTTTAAAAAGTAAAAAATAAAGAATAAGGATATAATGAAAGAAAACACACACACACACACACACACACAAAAGAAATACTTTACCCTAGGTGACTGAGCTGTGAGCCAAGGTCTCACTGATTCAATTTTGTTACAGAGTAAATTTTAATTTTCTACTAGGGAGGACAGAGAGCAGTTGCCTGTCTATTCAGGAATGAAGAGAGTATTTGTGAGGCTTGTAGTTCTTGATACACTTTTGAAACCAGACTCTACCTTTATTACTGTTTTAAACCCCAGCTTCCTGTTAAAACGCCGTTTCCAGTTTCTAACTTCTTCCAGGCTTCAGTGGATGAATAGATTTGTTTCTTGTTGGCTATCTTTTTTCAGGCCCATAGATTTCATCCTTCTTTACTATTTCTATAGTACAAAGTTAGTTACCTCTCAAATATCCTCTTTCCATCTTTTAAATTTTATTAACATGTCTTACATGTAACTCTTCCTCCCATAAATTCTTTATCTTTACAGATTGACACTTTTTTGTGTTCTGTTACTGACATTTCCTTGGGGAGCTGAGAAAATAGTGTTTAATCTTCCATGTTTAACCCAGATGACCCAAATTTGGAGGAATGTATGAAAGAGGGAGAGGAGGATTCATTCGCTGATAAGAACTTGAGTATGGCTACCAGCTCATGAGAGTCCAATCATATTAAAATATATCAAGGGGAATTTAAGAGAGGAAGGAATTACAATGAGGTGAATGTTTCAGTAGCTTCTATCTCATGGTTCCCAATTAGAAGGGTTATTTACTTCTGAACACTGCTAAACTAGTTACAATTTGGGACAAATTTTAAAAAATTAACTGTCTCCAAATCTTAGTAAAACCAGTTTCTAGGGGTATATTTGCCCATAGCTAGATTTTTGAAGCTCATGCTTCAACCTCACCACTCAGGGGTAGGGTTATTCTGAGTATCCCATAGAAATTTCAGTCTACGCAGTACTAGAATTTTCATAGTAAAGTAGACCTCCTTCCAGGTTTCCCTGTCCTTCTGGTGAGAGAACCTACTGCACCAGAGTAAGTTCACACTTTTCATTTCTTTACACTTTGCTAGACTGGGGTCTGGCAAATGCTTTTAAAACCAGTTTGAGTGTCCAATCCACACAGATATTATGGAAAAGTGAGATGAACAAAGTTCAAATAAGTGCCAAAATTGCTGATTCAGATTTTCTCACAATCCAGATGAACAGACATAGGAATGGAAATTATTGATGCTAAGAAACCAGATCTCCTTACTGCTGGACTAGCAGAAAACTGTATTTGTTTTATATTTCTCTCATTTATATTTGAGCAGTCTCTAAGGCAAGGCAAATCTAGATTGAAAATGACTTTGTAAGTGGCACTCAGAATTTCATCTATTACTGAATCTTATTATTGCTGAAATCTCAGTATCAAAATATAATACAGAAAAACTGACAATAAAGTCAGAAGCAAAAACCAGTCTCCCTATAGGTTATTAAGACAAGAACAGAACAGGTAGTTTTTAGCCTTGAGAAGTATAAAGGTTTAACTTCTCAGAAATGAAAAATCTAGACACAATATCTCTTGCCATTCTTTTTACTTTGATGACAGAATAAGAACATGGAATGGCCATGAGCTTTGAGAATTGCACAGAAGGCTAAAAAGTCCAGAAATGAGAGGATGTTAATTTGTCAAAAAATTAAGAGAACTTTCATGGAATTTCTGAATCAACCTTATCATGACCAGGACAATTTCAAGGGCCAATGACCTCCCTAGACTTCTACTTAATATCAACTGTGTACATAGGCCAATGAAACAGCCAATTCTAATCCTCTTGGTGGGTTTACTTCTCCCTACAATTAGACAGAATACAATATTAGCTATGGTTATGTGAGATTCTTTCAGAGCTTTATTCAATAAATGTGTATTTAGTATATTTAATATTGTTAATATATAATAAATAATATAATAAATAAATAATGCGACAAATTACTATTGTTTCTTATTCTCCTTTGAAAACATTAGACCCATGATATATTTCAGAGACCTCTGAGAGTTACTCTAATTCATCTTGAAATAAGGTAAAAATATAAACAAAAAAAATGTTTCACTAGGAGTCAATATATGTGTGATCTTTATGTTTCTTTCCCTTTTTTAAAGATACTCTGACCACTGAATAACCCAGCCAGGGCTATGTTTTTCTTATTAAACTAGTCTTCTAATACTACTTCACAGATTCAGAATTCTAATCTTCACCCTGGCCAGGTGGCTCAGCTGGTTGAAGCATTACCCCCATACACCAAAATGTTGCAGGACTGATTCGGGTCGGGGCACATACCTAGGCTGTGGGTTTGATTCCCCATTGGAGCACACATGGGAGTCAACTGATTGATGTTTCTCTCTCCCTTCCTCTAAAATCAATAGAAACATAGCCTTGGGTGAGGATTAAAAATAAAAAGCATTCTAACCTTTTTTGCTTTCTTTTGACATGCTGGTACATTGTTAAAACTTGGTGTTTTATGCTTGCAGCCTATAAAATGTTTTGAACTCTGACCTCACCTAATGTGCTGTACTTATGCATGGCTATTGAAACCTTTGTCATTAAAATGATAAGATAAAGCTGAGTAAAGCAAAAGCTTGAATGTCTCTGTGTTCCCATTCAGAACAGCCTAGTTACCTGTTAATGTCTTAGACACAGATTATTACCTTACAGCCATCTGCCAAGGCAAACCCTCCACCAACAAGAATGGCTATATCCCAGGGCATGAATGACTGGAATTCTTTCCAAGTAATCAGTGGAGAGTAATCAGATGCAACTGCAAAACAAAAACCCTACTTAAAATAATAGGATTTCTTCTTCATTACTGTAATAGCCACGTCACAAGAAGGTTTTAATATTCCCACTTTGCTTTTAGATAGGGGACTTGATCTGGACTTTGAGCAATTTCTACCTGGCATAGGTGGAACATATATTACTTTAAAAAATCGTAACTTGGGGAAATCCTTTAAAAAGTAAATAGATTATATTATAAAATAAATGTAGATACATTATAACACTGTCATTTATAATGCTGTTCATCATAAGGTAGGGACAGTTTCAGTATTTTGCCCCCCAAAAAAAGAAAGAAAGAAGAAATGAAATGAAATGAAAGAAAGAGAAAGAAGAAAGAGAGAGAGAAAGAAGGAAAGCCAGCAATAAAAAAATACAACTCTATAGTGGTTTTACCAGTATGGCAATTACTCAAAACACTAAAAATAGAGTTACCATATGACCTAGCAATCCCTCTTCTGGGTACCTACCTCAAAAACTCAAAAAATTTATTCTCAAAGATATATGCACTCCTATGTTTATTGTAGCATTATTCACAGTGGCCAAGACATGGAAACAACCAAAGCATTCTCAACAGAGGACTGGACAAAGATATGATACATGTGTACAATGGGATACTGCTCAGCCACAGACAGGATGAAATACCGCCATTTGTAACAACATGAATGGACTTTGAGAATATCATCCTAAGCAAAATAAGGCAGAAAAAGCTAAGAACCATATGATTTCACTTATATGTGGGATATAAAACTAAAACTCACAGACATAGACAACAGTGTGGTGGTTACCACAGAGAAGGGGGCGGGAGGCAGTAAAGGGTGAATAGGGCCAACTATATGGTGATGGGGGATGATCTGACCTTGGGTGGTGGGCATGCAATGCAATACACAGATCACATATCACAGTAATGTACACTTGAAACTTATATGACCCTATTAAACAGTGTCAGTGTCACCTCAATAAATTAAGAAAAACAACAACAACCCACAACTCTACTAGACTATTTCCAAACAATTTAAAACTATTTGTTGCACATGGGCAACATAGGAATCTGACTTCCCAAAACATTATGTGTTACCATAAGGCACAGACATGGATGAAGTCTATGTTTAAGAAGTATGTGTGTGTGTGTGTTGGGGGAGGGAGTATCCTCACATAAACATGCATGCCTTTTTGTCCATGTGTTATAAAAACAATGATATTCCCACCAAATACCTTTTCTTTCATTTGTGACACTAGGTTATGGGCTAGTGTAGGGTTGATGTGCATTCTCTCCAGGACTACTATGAGGCTGTAAATGCTCTTTCTTTTAAAACTCCTCATCTTAGTAGTCCCTCAGCATTAGTAGCAAGGGCTCATCATAAAATTGTGAGTTTCAAGTTCTTGTTCCTATGTTTGTCAATAGTAAGTTTAATTGTGGTTATGGAAGAGGGGGAGTGGGCTTATCACAGACCAAATAGTATCACTCATAGCAGAGCCCTAACCATGGAGCATTAAGAAAATCTACTCCTCACTCCTGTGAATGAAGATGACCCTTCTTGTAGCAGAAGGCTGTGTGCTGCAGTATGCAAACAGGGCGTGCGTCAACATGTCCAAGCCCTCTTTTCCGAGTGCCACCTGAAGTTAGTGCAATTTTGTGTATTTTTGCTCTTCTGTCAAATTCATTCAGAATAATAAATAATACTCAACCGATGTCTCCTGTAGGTGTAGTTTTAGTCAATTTCTTAGCTGGGATAAGAAAGAATAGGAGTCCTATAAGTAAGGCAACAGTTGAATCTGTAGCAAAATTCGAATACCTGGAAAAGGACAAATGTGTATATTAATGAGTGGCATCAAGAATTTGTGGGCACTAATCAACTAACTGACTATGCTAACAGCATACAAGTAGTAGTGGTGGTATACAATGTTTTTCTTCTCTGGAGAATCTGCTCTAAAATTTATGGATTTCCCACTAAATGGTTTTCCACTAAATAATTTAGTGGAACTGAAAATGTAGGACCATGTTCCCATTGTCTCCCTACACTTCTCTTTATTTTCAAAACCATGTATATACATCATGACCTTAGGTAGAGCTTATAGATCTGGTAACTAACATTTTCTTTGAATTATTTATTTTACTTAAATTAGCAGAGAATTGATGTTGAAACTATTGCTAGGCTAGGCAAAGCCTCATATAATCGACTTATAACATCCTAGTATTGAATTGTGGCAAGGCATGGATATATATCTAGAGTCCTTGAAAACTCTTCTGTAAATTGTGAAAGCGCATGATCTGTTTTTCTAAGATACAACATCTGCCTCTCTGATTATAAGCCCTAGCCATATCATACAAATGAAATCAACCCATTCAATGCTTTGCACCCCATGAAACTTAATCAAGAATATTAATTATTAGAATGGCTTATGAGATGCTCCTAAGTGACCACTGTTCAAATTAAGAGTGATTCAGGAACAGATGGGGTCTTAAAATCATCAGGCCATTCCAGCAAATAAGACAGGTTCCCAGAAACCCCAACAGTTCAGAAGCTCCTGGAGACTAGTAATGAAGGAAACAGGAGATATGAGTTCTAATAAATAATTAGAATTCAGTTTTAAAAGTAGGAAATACTTAACTAGTGAATCCTTGGATTCTGAGAAGCCGTTCTTCCATCCCACAGGTTATTTTGCAACCTTGTAACTCAGCAGTGTATATATATTATAAAAGCTCTCTACTTCTATAATTTACTTGAACCGAATAATAAAAATGCCTTATTTTATTCAATCTGACAATTTTATATAGCAGTTTGTTTTCCCTAAATATAGATTTTCTTTATTTTATTATTGAGTAAAAAAGCTACCTTGGTGTAATTTAGTCAATAAACTTAACCAATATTTATTATTTCATTGTTCTTTATTTCTTTTATTTTTGTTATAAATTTTAGTTGGATTTTTGTCAAATTAGGTCAGGCATTATGTAATGTGATTTTGTTTTTATGAAAAGACACACTGGATTCAGTCCAAGATCTAACAGATGGAATGAAAACATTAGGTGGTAGCCATAAATCTTGATCTATCATTCTAGCTTTGGAACTTCTAAATGCCTAAAATCTCTATGTTAAAAATATATGCCACTGGATATATACTTAAAATAAAGCTACGAATACTGAAATAATTTATTTTTAAAAAAACTTTAAAATATTATTTTATTATGTTTATTTTAATTTATTTTAGTTCATTATAAACTAGTTTAGGTTGTCTTGCTAATAAAAAATTAAGATTATATAAATTTTATTTGCTTTAATTTATATTTTTCAATTCCCTTCCTCTCTCAAACTTTTGCTCCTTTTCTATTTTTCTCTCTAAGCATTCTAGGTAACATGCACATCTGCCTATAGCAAATACACTCTGTTTTCCTGCTCCAAACATGACATCCCCTGAATTACATTTTTCTCTTGTAAGGAATAGAAATTATAAACTGATTTGTATATTGAATTTCCTATTGGGATTTCTGTCTGTTTTTTATTAGCTACTGTTTGATTTCATTTAGTTTTTACATGTTGGTGTTTAGAAAAGACTCTCCTTACCTAGGATGGTAGAAGTGGGATTTTTTAAAAGAAGGAAGAACTATGTTTTATGTTGGTCTAGGTCCTATTTCAAACCTACATAGTACCATCAAACTTTAAACAATAGTTTGCTTTAAATAGCTTGCATCGAGTAACTGGAAGCTGTCTTTTGTTTTGACAGCTCAAAAATGAAATGTTTTAGTTTTACATGAATCAGAAAGTTTATAAATCTGAAGCTTATTCTTTGAAACATGCTCCCACATTGCATTGATACACTTGTGTACTCGCTAGGAATTTGGACTCAGATTCTGCACCTTTAAAAAGTGTCGACAAAGTGTCTGTATAACCAGAAGGCTCTGATTCAAGAAAAATGAATTTCTTTATTCTATGTGGGAAGAATAGATGTGACTCAAATAATTTTGGTTTCTGCCTCCGAATACATGGATTCTTGCTGGGGAATATGAGACAGAAAGTCTAAATAAGAGATCTGCTGAATTTAGCAACCAGATTAATTCAGTGAAAGATAGATTGGGAACACAAATCTGAAGCCCACTTTATAATAATATGTAGGATGCTCCTTAATTTAGAAAATTATGCTACAATCTTCCTCCTCATTTCACATGATTCAGCAATGACTGCTGGTATACAAGACACTGAAAGTTAAAATTAACTCTGACCCAGCTTCTAACATTAGTTTCATCGACATTACTTCATCAGGAATTCCTTATCTACAAAAGAGAGATAGGCATGGGTTTATGGTGAAGTAGTATTTAATGGACATAAATAGATAAAAAGATGTTGAACTATATAAATAATTCCCCATAGAAGTTTTAAAAAGTGGGCAAAAATAACAGAATATGAATTCATATCAGGGCATTAAGAAGCATGGAGTAGTATTTTACATAACAAACACATTGCACTTCATGTAGGTAGAAGAGCAGCACCGTTCTCATTAGCTCTATATTACAAGTGAAGAAATTCAGAGATGTGACCTGCTTAATGTGGCAGAGGCCAGAATGGAACCCAAGAGATATGGTTCCAAAATTTACACTTCTAACTACCACAGAGCATGGCTTTCTTGCACACTGTATTTCTAATTTTGGAAGGATGGAAATAGCCTTGTCTAAAGAAACCTGATTTTTAGTGTCATGGTAGTTGGTTATCTTGCCTGAGGTCTTAACCTCACTTTTCATTCCTTATCATTTTTTTCTTCCTGAAAGAATTAGAATTAAAAAATCTTTTCAATGGAAAGGAAGAAGAAAATCTCATACAATTTTTCAGAGTTATATTAATCACTTAGGAAAAAAGCAAAGTGTATTGTATTGGCCAAAAAGTTCATTAGTTTCCCTCCCCACCCCCCGTATGCTGGCTCTAATAGTGTTTAGTTGACTTTAACTTCATTTGAAACAATTTTGTTAGGTTGTATTGTGACAACCGTAATATCAACATGGATTAAAAGAACTTATCAAAACTGGTGAATTTTTGTGTAGCCATTTTACTATTGAAGATGGAAGAAAATAAGCAATGTTTTCAGCATATTATGCTTTATTATTTCAAGAAAGGTAAAAACACAAACACAAAAAAAGGGATTTGTGCAGTGTATGAAGAAGGTGCTGTGACTGAATGTGTCAAAAGTGGTTTTTGAAGTTTCATGCTAGAAGTTCCTCAATGGACAATGCTCCATGGTCAGATAGACCAACTGAAGTTGATAGTGATCAAATTAAGACATTAACTGAGAAAAGTCAGCATTATACCACACAGAAAATAGCTGACATACTCAAAATACCCAAATCAAGCATGAAAGTTAAGAATCATTTATACCAGCTTGGTTATGCTAATTGTTTTGATGTTTCGGTTCCACATAAGTTAGGCCAGAAAACCTTCCTGACTGTATTTCTGCATGCAATTCTCTAATTAAATGTAATGAAAATGTTCCATGTTTTAAAATAAATTGTGATGGGCAATGAAGAGTGGATACTTTACAATAATGTGGAATGGGAGAGATCGTGGGGAAAATTAAATGAACCACCACCGACCATCCCAGAGGCCAGTCTTCAACCAAAGAAGGTGACGTTGTGTGTAAGGTGGGATTGGAGTCCTCTATTATGAGCTCCTCCCGGAAAACCAAGTGATTAACTCCAACAAGCACTGCTCCCAATTAGACCAACTGAAAGCAGCACTCAATGAAAAGCATCTAGAATTAGTCAACAGAAAATGCATGACCTTCCATCAGGATAATACAAGACTACATGTTTCTTTCACGACCAGACAAAAACTATTAACAACTTGGCTGTGATGTTCCTATTCATCTGTCATATTCCCCAGACATTGCACCTTTGGATTTCCATTTATTTCAGTCTTTACAAAATTTTTTAATGGAAAAAAATTTCAATTCCCTGGAAGACTACAAAAGGCACCTGGAACAGTTCTTTGCTCAAAAAGACAAAAAGTTCTGGGAAGATGAGATTATGAAGTTGCCTGAAAGATGGCAGAAGGCAGTGGAACAAAATGGTGACTAAGTTGTTCAGTAAAGTTATTGGTGAAAATTAAAAATGGGTCTTTTATTTTTACTTTAAAACTGAACAAACATTTTGGCCAGCCCATTAAAACAGGAAGGGTTAACAAACATAACATGTAACACTTACTGGTAAAAAAGTGAAGACCAACCAGGAACAAACCCAGGATCCCGGGTAAACCATAGCAGGGCCATTATAATGAAGAGGGTCAAGGTGATAATTTCCTGACACCTGTAGAAAAATGTCAATCCTTTCATTTATTTTCTCAGTCAGGATTGTTGCAGAAACTCCCTGAGCTATTGTCAGGAATAATATTACCAGAATACTAACAACTAAAACCTAGATGTATCAATAATTTGGGAGAATCAGTGCGGCTGGAAAAGGACTTTCTTCTTCCATGGGTCTTTCAGCTTCTTGTTATTCCATCTAGTAAATTGTACTTAGAAAACATATGTATTTTGTCATGTCGAGGTTAGCATCTACTTTCACAAAGGATGGCACACTGGGGGCCCTTATCAAATATTATAAATACATTACAGACAATCATGTGCTTCTTTGCCTTTAATAAATACAGTGTGTGTGTTCACACACAAACATTGATCTTACCTTATTGGCCCCAGTTTTAGGTATTCTTGTTTAATCACATCAGCACAAGCCTTTTGTTTGACTGTCTTGCTCTTGCCACAGTTAAACATCTCCTTAAAACTGAAAAGAGTGATTAAGCCTGGTAAGCAAAGAATTTTCCCTTTATAGAAGGTACTCGTGTGAAAGCTTCATAAAATACAAATCCTGCTAATAACAGAAATCCGGACTTTTTGCATATACCTCTGTCTCCTTCTTTAAATATTCTCTCCCCTCTTTTCTGTGTTTTCCTGCTTTGCTCAAGTTCCAATGCTTAGTTTTTGTTCCATATTTTCCATGCTATCTTCCACTGATCTCTTTCTTTTCCAAGTCCTTTTGCACCATGTTAAAATTTTGCCATGTTCCATTCATCTCTAGCACTTTATGTATTTGACTTGTATACTTCAATATATTTATTATATACCTTGATTGTTAATTATTGCACATTAATGTGCAATTGTTGCAGTGTCACAGATATCTCTTTGGCCCAATATCTCTAAACACTGGCATTCATGGTAAATATATGATTTATCAACTAAACAGTACCTTTGTCAAATGTCTGAGATATTTTCTTGTCAGACCCATCAATTTTCTCAAACATGCTAACTCAAGTTGTACACTAGTGTGGGGAGGTCCCATGCACTGATCATGAATGCGGTCCCAACTGAGTCTATTCTCAGAACTAAAACCAATGGTATGACATTTTCTCTTCGAGTTTCTTCATCACTTACACCTAGTGGTCTCCACCAGATAATTTTCTAGCTTATTTCCAATAGTAACTGCCAGTCTCTGTTCCTTTTAGCTGCTTATTTTAGTGACCTTTTCCCCTGATGACTAATTTTTCTGTCTCAGGGTCTTCAAAACTTTGAACAGTTTTTTTTGTGAAGTACTTCTCTACACATAGATTTAAAAATAAATAAATAAATTCCCTCCAGAGGAAGGAAAAAATGGGGAAATGCCTAGATTCTTACGGATTACCTCTTGGAATGTCTATAAGCATCTCAGTTAGATTACATTATATGTAGGAATAAAAAGTACTTCTGAATATATAACCAAAGGAATTGAAATCTGGATTGCAAAGAGATACCTGCATGCACATGTTCACTGCAGCATTATTCACCAGAGTCAAGGTATAGGAGCAACGTAATTGTCCATCAACAGACAAATGGATAAAGAAAAAGTGGTATATACACACAATGGATTGTTATTTAGCCATAAAATGGAATAAAGTACCAACACATACTACAACATGAATGGACCTGAAGTACATCATGCTAAAGTGAAGTCGGACATAGAAAAACAAATATTGCATGATTTCACTTACATGTGGGATCTAAAATAGTGAAAAATATGGAACCGGAGAGTAAAAATAGTGGTTGGAGAGGAGGAAAATAGGGAGGTGTCAGCCACAGGGTACAAAATTTCAGTTATGCTAAAGAAGTTCTGGAATAAGGCCTATGATTAACTGTAGGGCCCATGATTAATACTTTATTGTATATATACTTAAATTTTTGCTAAGAGGGAAGATCCCCTGCTAAGTGCTTTTTACCACAAAAGGAAAAATGAAAGCAACAAAAAATCAAAGAGTGTGAGAAGAATCTTCTGGAGGTGGTGGATAAGGGTGGCATTGATATTAATGATGGTTTCATGGGTATATAATTATCCCCAAACACATCAAGTTTTGTGTATAAGTATCTACAGCTCTTCATTTCTCAATGATACCTCAATAAATCAGTTGAAAAATAAAAAGGAGCATTTTCTTCTGTAAAATTGCTGGGGTAAACATGGATACTTATGAAGGAGTAAGTAGGAAGACTGAGGTGATATGAAGGTAGCTATCACACGAAGATACATTTTATTTATTTATTTTTCTGTAACACTGCTATTTAAACTTGTTTGGACTATTATTGCTTCTAAGGAGCAGAGTTTGCTCAATTCTTGTCATCCATTCTACACATATATAACCAGCGTCTGGCACACACTTTGACCATGAACACGATTACATGGATGTTGTTGCATTCAAGATCAACGCAATCACTGACTAATACCAGTGTCAAAATTTTACCCCATGTCACAATATAAATGCTATTATAAGAAGCTAATCTATGGACCACCTTGAGAGCCATCTATAGAATAGAAAAGTGGAATTAAGGAAAGAAATGAGTCTCCTGATAAACTGTTTCCCACCCTGTAGACTGCATTTGTACTTTGTCACTTTGTTTGGGGACCATAAATAGTTAAGTCAAAAGCCAAATTGGCCATGCCGTAAATGAAGGTTAATGCCTTCACAAAGGAACTGATGAAGCATATGACAATGCATCAGCCTCTCCATTTAAATAAGTTTGGTGGCATTGATAGATGAGCTGCTTCTTTCCAAGTATGTTGGGGTCATTTATAATGCGAGAGTTAACTGTGTTAACAGCCAACACACTAATCAGAATGTATGGGACTTGCCAGGGGACTGGCTGATCATTTCTGTTTGTCATTCTAAAACCTCTGGAGGTGAACGCCCAGACAGACTGAAAAGGACACTGAAAAATGAGCGGGACCATGAAGCTGTGCAGTGACTAACCAGTGGTGGACAGCAAGGGGGCTGTTAAAACATGTCACTGGTTGTGATTTATGGCTTTTGCCTAATGTATGCACTTCACAAAAAGGTTTTTTCCTCATGGAGAATACATTTCAATACATCTTCCCTTTCTCTTTTTAATTCTTCTTTTTAAATGGGGAGGCCATTTCCCCAAAATGACATTGGTTACACGAATATTTTACAAAGTCATTTGCATATAGCAAAAAAGAAGGAGTCCTTGTTGGGTGGCTCACTTGGTTGGAATGTTGTCCCATACACCAAAGGGTTGTAGGTTCAATCCCCGCTCAGGGTGTGCACGGGACACAACCAATCCATATTTGTCTCTCACATAGAAGTTTCTCTCTCTGTCTCTCTGTCTCTGTCTCTCACTCAGTCCCTTTCTCTCTTTCTCCCCTTCCTCTCTCTCTAAAATCAGTAATTTAAAAATCTTCCAGTGAAAACTAAAAAAAAAAAAAAATGAAAGGAGGAAACAGCTATGGGTCTGGGAGAGGATGCTTTCTCCATGGGTTTAGGTTTCCTATGCCCTGCAGCCCGCACTGCTACCTGTACAACTGAATAGACCCCTGAAGGCTTGGATTTTCCAGGAAGGGGCATCAGCACTCAGCAGGCCTCTCCCCACCAATGCCCACCCGCTGCAGTGACACTCCGCACATTGGCTTCAGCAGGAACACTGTCACACGCTGCTCCCACAATCTGGACAAATAGACTTCTTAAAAAAATTATCACTACTATCTCCCCACCACTAATAAAAGAACAGTAGTTCTGCATAAAAACCAGGAAGAGCAATAGAGAGGGGAAATATCAGTCCTTATCTGACCAGACTTGGAAAACTGGGGTGCCAGCATGGAGCAGCACCTGGTCTCGGTGCTCCGATTTTCAAGGGACGCACAAATAGCTGGTGTCAGTCTCGCCGGCTTGGTGGATAACATGCTGTTTTATTCATTGATCTTTGACATTATTTAAATAAAATTCCATAAAAATAAACTCGAACTGCTTTATCTTTCAGGAAAAAATCCTCAAGGTTTGACATGCAGCCTTGTTTGGAATATTGTTATATGTGTTGAATACATAATACTACATTTTTTATTTCTTAATGGAACCCTTCATACTTTTAAAGACTGACTGTTATTTAAGTCATGTAACTCATTGGTACTTAGGAATCACCAACTTCAAGCCCAGCCAATGGAATGTTTACAAATTTTCCTTGAATATATACATTTGACATTTCAGCAGCTTGTTTTTGACCAGTGTTTCTTACCTTAGCTTGTATGTGTTCAACTTGGGCCCAAATGTGTTAGAATGACATATTGGAAGTGATGTTATTGATCTTCCAGTTAACTTCTACCGTTTTACAGTTGATGATGCTGAGACTAAGAATGGATCAAGGCTTGCAACAGTAACTCAATCCAGCTTGGAGAAGCCATGAATTTGTCCCTGGTCTCCTGATTCCAAATCTGATGCTATTTGCACAGAGCATGCTCTTAGATCTTTATTTTTTTCAAGGATATGCCAGTTTGGGTGCTCAGATAAAGCAGGAAGCCCTGCATGTTATAGTTCGAAGTAACCCAATAACCTGAGGAATTTCCCACATTAAACCAAGAGCAGGGGCAAAACATCTCAAAATTTCACTCTCGTCATAATGAGTTCTTTATGCTTCTCTGGCCTACTAATGTGTTATTGGCTAGGATTCAAATTTGGGAAACCGAGACAGAGTTTCTTCCACAAACTCTCTTCCATAGCCAATGTGGTTTGCATGGTATTCTAGAATAGAATATCCTTAAAATATGTGTTCATGCACATCAATTTTGTGAGGAAGAGAGATACAGAAATGCAGCATCATTAAATCAGTGAAAGAGCACCATGTGAGGACTCAGAACCAAGACACTTTCATTTATCTGATGAACACAGACAATCCACTTACTTGAATCCTAGGAAAAACCACTGGAGCCAGATCCAGGACAAGAGTAGAATAGTGATAGAAGCTGGGAAGGAAAACATAAACCATGATCCAAAGTTGAGGCACTGACACTTGGAGTAGCGCCTGTGTGAAAACAAGAAACAGTGTTCACGGGGAGCATAGGTGGAATCCCTCCCAAAGATGGTCAGTGGGGCGTGGCAGTGGGATGCCCTCCCCACTTCAGAGCCTGCAGCTGAAGCACGAGGTAGGAGGGCTTCACCAGCCAGGGCAGAAGATAGTGTTTCTCCTTACCTCTTGGTTCATAAGTACATACTTATTGCTACTTACCACAAACACAATAGTGGGTATGTTATAATTTTTGTTCCCTTAACTCAGTCTGTAAGTACATGCTTAGAAAGAACCTAGAATAGTACCTCTTGCTCATTAAATGCACAAGAAATGGGTATGCACGGGGAACTGTGTTTTGTTGTTAGTACCAAAATCATGAATGCATGTGTGAGGAAAGACAAATAAGCAGATTTGGGAACAGATGAAAATTAACATTTTCGAATGCCCATTACCACTGCGCATTGGTAGTGGGTATGCCAGGTGCCTGCGAAGCTGTTTCCCTCTGCCCCCAAGGCAACTGCAACCATCATGCCAGACACATGTTACTCATTTCTTCCTAGAATTAGATAGTGCTTTGGGGCTCAGTCAAATGGAATAAATCTGGACCAGATAAAAATTAATTAAAAGTACAAAACATCAATGTTTCCTTTACCTCTCCTAGTTATTTCCAGCTTTTTAGCTCACATAATAACAAAACAAAAGCAACAACCGAAAAAGGTCAAGTATAAGCACAATGTCTTTGGTAAGCTCACATTCATGGTTTCAAAATGTAATCTAAATTCCAAGTAAATTCTCATATACTTATTCTATTTTATGACTTTGGGGAACAAAAACAGGAAATTTGAGAAAGACAGAGTTAAAAATCTGGAAAGTACAATAAGTATACAAAAGTAATAAAAACACCATTAACATATTTTATTATTTTTGAAATCACAAAATATAGAGAACTTTATAGAAATAATAAACTTTTCAATTCTTATTTTATTTAAATCACATCTGTATTTTGTCATTTAAAAAGATCATGTAAAGAACTAAAATGCTTCACACTAAATGCACCAACATAAGCCAAATTTATGTATTATATTTTAGAGCATTCTTTGGTTTATTTTAGGATGATTCCTAAGGAATGCAAAGACTTTAAAAAAATAAGTTTTCAAAACTCCAGATTTCTACAATGTCTTTGCGCTTATAAAAAGTTGCTGATCTCCCAAGGTCCTAGAGATATCATTAGTAACTTGAGGATGATTTTTATCTACCTTGAAGAGATTCAAGGATTAGCTTACATGTTTATGCATTAGAAAGTGATAAATGATAAATAAGAAATGCTAGAGAATACAAAAAATTGGTGAATGGAAAGATGCTTTATCATGGTCATGAGGCTCTACTGAGAATTGCTTACTTAAAAAAAATAGTTGTTTTCAGTTGAAAATAAAATAAGAGGAAAGCCTTAAGCTTATTTCCCATAACTTTGTTAGACTTGGATTATAGGTCAATGGCCTATGTTCCCCTGTTTAGCCAGAAGACATTTAGAAATTCCACTCAGATCAGGGTCAAAACGACGCCCCAGCCCACTCTCGTTCCACCACCTGTGGCTTGTACTGTGCAATTAAGCTGCATGTTACTCCCACCCACTACAGAGTGTCCTTTAGGATTTGTTCATCTGAAAAGGGGTTTTCAGAATTTCTGCCTGAAAAAATAATTCATTTAAGAAAATGAAATGCTGAAAAAGCTGAACTCTTTTGTTTTGTTTTGTTTTGTTTTGTTTTGTTTTTGTTTTTGTCTTCAGTAGTAAGGAAGTAAATACCACACTGGACTGTGACCTCCATTATCCCAACCCTTACACTTATACACAGAGTGAATATTTTGGATGAAGATGGAATGAAAAGCATAATCTAAGGGATTAGTTACACTGTGGTGTCTCTTTTCCTACTTCTGCATATCCTAAAAGCAGAGTGACTGCAAGAATCTGCCTGGAGCAAATGTAGATTTCTTCCACCCTAGACCAAGTAAGTACAGTACATTTAATTCTGACAGGATCCTTTTCTTCCACCCTATCCTATGTTTTGGGTGTCTACCACGTGCCAGGTACTCTTCCAGCTATTGAAAATGTAGCGGTAGATTAGATGGACATGGTTCAGGCTCTCTTAAAGTTTATATGTAAATGAGGAACACAGGCAATAAGCAGGTAAGCATATAATGAATCAGAAAATAAAACAAAAATAATGTAATAAAAATTATTAGGGGGAGGGAGAAATTTTACAGAATGTGGTCAAGGAAGATGATTTGAGATGAGATCAAAATGGCAAGAAGGATGTAGTTGTATAAATAACAGTATTTAAAACAGTATTACAGACAGGAAATTGCAAGTACAAAGGCCCTGAGGTGGGAATGAATTTGAAATGTGGGAGGCTTAGACAGAGGCCAGTGTGGCTGTGGGTAATGAATTAAGAGGTACAGTGACATGAAGTCAAGTCCAAGAAGTAGCCCATAGGGGTCAGGTCATATACAACCTTGTAGGCCATCAGAAAAAAAAATTGAATTTTAGTACAAATGGGATTAGGAGTAAGTGAAACATAGTAAATAAATAGTGACATGATCTAATTTAAAGTCTACATAAAATTGTTACTTGCATAAAACATGTTGACCAGGTAAATTCTCAAGACTAAAGGGAACAAGAGTGAAAGCTAAGGTGTTGTAGGTAGAGTTCAAGATCACCCTCAAGATCTCTGCCCCAGGTATACATGCCTTGTATAATCCTCTTCCCTTCCGTGCAGATAGAACTTGTAAATATGATGAGATTTCATCCCTGTTATTAGGTTCTTTTATGGCCAAATTGAAGGGATTTTGCAGCGCTAATAAAAGTCCCCATTATGTGACTGAGTTAATTTTTTTAAAGGCTGTCTTGGGTGAGCCTGGCTTAATCAGGTGAGCCCATAAAAGATATTTTCCTGCTGACCTAAAGAAGCAAGGTTTCGTGTTGTCAAAGAAAGGGGCCACATAGCAAGGATCTCAGGGTAGCTGGTAGTTGCTGAGAATGATCCCATGCCAACAGTCAGCAAAAAATTGGTGCCTCAGTAATCCAACCACTGGGAACTGAATTCTTTCAACAACCTGAATGGCTTGGAATAGAACCCTGTGCTCCTGTGGTGATTACAGGCTCAAGTGACACCTTTCAGAATGGAGAGATGTTGAGCCGAGGACCCAGCTAATCTGTGCCTAGACTCCTGCCCAGATCCACAGAAACGATGAGATGATAAGCTTGTGTTGTTTTAAGGCACTAACGTGATAGTAATTTGTAAAACAGCAATGAAAGACAAACACATAGGGGAATCTATTAGCAGACACAGGAAGGTTTGCACAGAAATAGGGGAAGTGAGAGTAGAATAGATTTTAGCTTAGTTTGGACTGACAGCAGTGAAGATGAACAGAAGGGAATAAATTTTGATATACAGGGTCTGGCACAAATAATACCCCTTTTATTATAAAATTATAAGTATGTAATTCTGTAACATAACAATATCACACTCAAGCACACCATGTGACATTTTAGATGAAATTTTGGCATTAAAACTATAAATTCTTACACCATATTATTACCCTACCAACCACACTCAAGTAGGCGTTACTTTTGCCAGACCCCGTATTTGAGATAAAGTGTAGGAAATGGAGAAAAGGCTCCATTGATTGAAATGGGGTCAGAGGGAAGAATGGGTTGGCTGAATTGTGAGGGAGTAGTGGACCAGAAATGCTGCTGTGGGCATGTGAACTTGAAACGTCCCTTATTTTTCTAACTAGCCATGTTGGATAGGCAGTTGATAAATAAGTCTGGAACTGAGAGGAGAAAAAGTTAGGGATACAAATTTGGTAGTTACCGAACACAGGGATGGTTTCACAAATCATGTAAATGGGTGTGATAATTTTTAGAGTACACAGAGAACCAGGAATGTACCCTAGGGGCACCCTGTCTTAGAGGTCAGACAGAGGTGTAGGAACAAATAGAAAATCTAACGAAAATCCTGTGATAAAAGCACTGTATTTCCATTTTACACAGGAAGACACTGAGTCAGAAGGTTAAGTGAATTGCTCACAGTCATGGACTGTGCAGCCAAGCTGGATTTTAACCCAGGAGGAGTGTAAAGGTCAAAAGTTAAAGATAGAGAAAGACTCTTAAAAGCAAGAGAAAATAGTTGTTCAAAGGTTGGCAGATGGGAGGGGGCAAGGGGAGAATGGGTGAAGAGGAGAGGGGATTAAGGAGTACAAATAGTTAAAGAACAGCCATGGGTTTCACCACCTGGCTTATTTCACTTAGCATAATATTTGGCAGTTCCATCCACGTTGTTGTGAAGGGTAGGAGCTCCTTCTCTCTTTCTGCTGGGTAGTATTCCATTGCGTAAATGTAGCATAGTTTATTGATCCACACACTTACCCATGGGCATTTAGGTTGTATCCAGCACTTAGCTGTTGTAAATTGCACTGCTATGAACACTGGGGGACACAAGTTATTTTGAATTAGCATTTCAGGTTTCTTGGGGTATAAACCCAGCAGTGGAATTGCTGGGTTGAAAGGCAATTCCATTTTTAGTTTCTTGAGGAAATTCCATACTGTTTTCCACAGCGGCTGCACCAGTCTGCATTCCCACCAACAGTGCACTAGGGTTCCCTTTTCTCCACAACCCTGACACCATTTATTGTTTGTTGGTTTGTTTACAATGGCCATTCTGATCTGTGTGAAGTGGTATCTCGTTGTGATTTAATTTGCATCCCACCTCTAAGTGGAACCTAATTAATAAAACAAACTGGCAAGCAAAAAATATAGCCAGAGACACTGAAATAGACAAGAAACTGATAGTAATCAGAGGAGAAAGGGAAATAATGTGGGAAAGAAGAGAAAGGGATGTGAATGAACATGTATGAGGGACCCATGGATGGAGCCAAAATGGGGTGGGATTGACTGTGGGAGGTGGGTGTGGGTAGGGCAGGGGAAAGTGGTGGTAGGAAAATGGCGACAACTGTAC